TAGCGGTCACTGCCTAATAACGTTTTCACCAGCTTCAAACCAACTTAGCATAATCAATCTTCACATCTTCCTGTCTCATTATTAAGTATTTATTAACCTCTTTTCAGATACTTTTTGCCTAGCATGATGTAACAAAAACAACAAAGCATGAGGTTCCCTTTAGTTAAATAACTTCCCCCAAATAAACACAACAAACAAAAAAGATCACCAAATTCTTTTGATCCTGCTTGTGTTCAAAATACAATTCCATATTTCTCTTTCTAGTCTTAACTGTATCTCACTAAATCTCACATGCGGTTGCTACTTGTTGCTTTCACTTTTGTTTCCTGTGTAATCTCTATATGCCAGTCAAGTTAGTCAAATACTGGCGCGGAACATGCTGTGCACTTTTCTGCTGCCAGGCCTCTGTCTCAGAATTGCCATTCTTTTACCCAGGCAAGACCTTCATAAGGGGCCACTCCGCAGCCAGATGCTAACTACTTTCGCTCTCCCTGTTTCTTTGTCAAGTCACTGTGAGCTATAATCTAGAACCGACCATGAAACTAACACATTACGAGCAACTTCTTCTTATTGACTCAGTTCCTGACACCAGATATCCTTTTTCTCGGTTTTCCTTGCATATATCAGATTTGGTAAATGGCCTTTGCTTTTCCTGGTGTTTAACCTCTGTTCATAGTCTACTTTTGGTTTGGCTCTTCCTGTGTTCCTTCTAACATCCGAGGGAAATCTAGCTGGGGCAAGTAACACCAGCTAAAACATTTATAAGCTTTTGTTCACCTTGTTCTCCATTCCTTAAATGTCTTTCTCACTGTTTTCTACTCATCCAGCTCATGTCTATACTTCAAGGTTAATAAGCTCGCCTATATTCATTCTGTATCCTTCTAAGGCTACCTTGGTTTTTGTTTTTTGCCCCTGTTGCTTTCACTGTGGCTATGACAGTGATGTTGACAGTGGTCGTGGGGTTGCTTCTGCTGGTGGTGATTAGGACATCTAATCTTTAATGAGTATTTCCTATTGCATTTAAAAATACCTGTTTGGATTTGGCACTATTTTACAGATGGAAAGAGTTAAGCAGTAGGGAAGTTTATTAAGTGACTGTCAAGAAATTAAGTGTTGTGAAAGAAACTGAGCATTGATCTGAGCAAAAAGCCTAAGTTCTTAATGACTACATCATGCTGACTCCTCTCAAATTTTATTTTTACAATACAATTAATATAATATGTAATGATACTTTTTAAACATCTGTTATAACTTTTCATTTATTATTATCAGTACATACAGTTTCTTTCAGCAAATTTTCATAATGTCATGCAAAAAATTATCTGACCTTAACATATATGATTTTATATATAGTTTGCATTAGTTTGCTAGGACTGCCACAATAAAATACCACAGACCTTGTGACTTAAAAAACATAAATTTATTTTCTAAGAATTCTGGAAGCTGTAAATCCAAGATCAAATACATTTTAGAGTCCTTAATATAGAATGTATAGTGTATAAATATATAATGTATAGAGTCCTAAAAGTATACTATCCTAAATATTAATAACAAATATGCCTTTGATGCTGGGGTTCTTGTTTGTGAAGTTGAAGAATGAACTTAGCAAACACCCAAGGTAGGAGAGCCAGGGTAGAGGCTTTTATTTAGAGATAAAGTAGATAAAGTGAGACGACATAACTCCTGGGTCACATCAGGAGGGGCCAAGAGAGTCCATGGTTGGCTCATTGTCTAGGGGTTTTATGCATGATTGAGGATTTTCAGGAATGGGGGTAAAGGGCTAGGGGTGCAGACTGGTCCCAGAATGCTCATCATTTTTGATGAGAAACAGAAGAAATTTACTGCTCTGATTCTTTCTCAGGATATCAGTTTTCCTCTGGGAGCATGTCAATTAAGACTGCCTGCCCTACACCAAAGGTGGGCTGGGTTTTTGCCTGTTTGCTAAAGTGTGTTAAGAATCTTACTTAACTTCTTGGGCTCTTTATAGTTGGGCTTGCTTACTAAATTCATGTTTTTACTAGGTTGCAGATTACTTGATTAGGATCAGAGAAGGAAATACAGCACATATACACAGATAAAATGAGCTAGGCCTTTTAGCAGGCTAAGGTAAATTTTACAGTGTCATGATCTAAATTGATACAGTGAAGTCACAGGGTATGCTGAGACATTTCTCTTTATCTGCAGAACACTCAAGCATTCCAGGCCAAGTTGCTCCTGGCCTTTTGTGCTTAAACTGATCCCACTGAAGATGTCTATATTTCTAGTCTGGTATCTTTACCCTAGAGAATGAGTGTGACTCTCGTCTTTGCATAATGCTTAACACACTTTCAATAGGGACTTCTTGGCATATTGTTACATTGTTCTGATTGTAACTGTCTTGCTCTGCTTTTTCTGTGGAGTCCCTCACCCTACTCTGCCTAAACCCATGGTCCCTATCTTACCTTCATAGATGGCCATAAGCTTTGGATTTAGTGGAATCCTTGTAGACTCTTGCTTTATATTATCCATATATAACATTTCTTTTCAAATAAGAATTTCAGTCATTTAAAACAGCATATCTTAAAATATGATAACCTGTGATTTATTAAAATATTTATTTTACACAAAATGAAAGATACCTCATTTCTTAAGAGAAAATTCTCTATCTACTGTAGATTTAGAATGTTGGCTTAATCTATGCCACCCAGAATCAAAATATCTGCATAATAGCAAACCTCTCAATATGTACCATAGTTATGTTAGCAAGAGAAAAATTAAGTTTCTGATTTGTTTCTTTGGTTCATTTTGTCCATTTCCATGACGACACATGTAGTAAAGTTCAAGCTGCAGTAGCATTAAAATGTACATAAATTAATACATTCATCAGTCATTTACTGGGTGCCTTCTATTTTCCAGGTAAAGCACATAGATAAAGCTTTAATAGCTCTCCAAGAAAGAGTCAGTACAAAAATTTTATTTAAGCAATAAGGTTGTCCCCTGGATTTCAGAAAGCAATGTTTCTGTGATGGTCAAGTATCACTAAGTATGAAAAACAAAACAGAAATTAATTTTTTGGGTGGAGCTTTGTATTCCCTCAGTAAGAACATCATCCTTTCTATAATGAGTTTTGAAAATGTATTATATTCTTCTAATGGAGCAACCTTAGAAGGCTGAGTTTCCATTTAACCTCCATGGCTCACTTGAGAAAAAACATAAACTTTTGACAAAAAAAATTAAAAAGGGTTATGAAGCTCTTAGAGAACAGAAATGCATAAATATTAAGTTATACACTGTTAGCACGACGTCGCTCTGTACTTTTACAACATTTATACTATGTAAAAGGCACACTCTCTAATATAATTGCATTCAGATATTCAGCTATGAACTCGGAGGCTTCTCTGAGGCTCCCCAAGAATTCTAACAGAATATGTATGTTTTAATTTTTTAAATTTATATTGCCGAGTATCCTTCTAAATAGGGTGCCAAAATTGACACTCACACTGATTTCTTGAAGATAAAGCCTTCCACTGTTTCTCAAAATAAAATAGTTACAAAATAGTTTTACAGCAAATGGAATCTCAAAGATTTATTTTTCAGATGTCTGTTTTAAAAAGTGCTACTCAGAAAAACACAGAAGCCTCAAATATTTTACAATTAAATAAAATCAGACAACCGAAGCTCCTGTTATGACAGCACAATGGTTGAATAAGGAGCTCCAAACTCTTCCTCCCCACTGGAAACATCAAGTAAATAATTACAGACTGATTGAAATAGCTTTATGGGAGCTCTGGAAACAAGGCAAAGATATGCAGCAACCAAACAAAAGCCCAATCAAGGAAAAGTCACTTTCAAGTCAGTAGGAAGTTTCATGGCCTTGATGCTTGCTCTTGTACCACCCCCTTCCCAGGGTGGCATGGCATAGTTGGAAGAATGCAACTTATTTTTTTAATTTCCCCCTCAGTATACAAGGACAAGAGTTGAACTTGTTTGAAATATTCTGGCCTGTCTCTAGGCTACCTAAGAAACTGATTTCAGAATTGCCTATATCATAACTCAGATGAGAATGGCAGCATAGTTTGGATCTGAGGTTGGAAAATACAGAAGAGAGTGACAAACACCATAGCACATGAAAACTGCAGGGGGACTGGAGACCTACAGACACCTGGGGGTAACAGATTATGAAGAAAGGAATAAATAGAATATCTAAGGCCTCAAGAAGCAGGGGTGAGACTTAGACAAATTAAGACATATATAAGCAGCCATGTTCATGAGAGATGGGGGTAAAAGAAACACGTGCAAGCCCACAAAAATTGCATACCCAGAAAAGGCCTGAAAAGTTCTTAAACCTTCATGTTGGGCTGATTAGTGAAAGACATCTCTCACACAAAGCCATTATGCAAAGATTAGGAAAGGTGCCTGTTTTCCAAATCCCAATTTTAACAAGACATCACCAGGGAGACAAAGAAATGTGGAAGCAGGACTCATTAAGAAGGAGCCAAATAAACATCCAAAAACTGACTCTAAAGAACCACAGGTTCCAGACTTCTTAGATGAAGAATTTAAACAACTTTCTTAAATATCCTCAAAGAGCTGAAGGAAGAAACATAGCAAAAGAACTAAAGGAAATCAAGGAAACAATATATAAACAAAATAAGAATATCAACAAAGAGATAGAAATTATAAAAAAGGGCAAAGAAGAATTCTGAAGCTGAAAAATATAATTCTGAATTGAAAAGTTCACTAGAGGGCTTCAACAACAGACTTGACCTAGCAAAAGAAAGAATCTGTGAACAAATTATATGAAATTATCAAATCTGAGACATGCAAAGAAAAAATAACGAAAAACAATGAATATTTCCTTAGAGACTTGTGGGGCATCATCAAACAGAACAATATATGCATAACTGAAATCCCAGATGGAGAAGAGAGAGTACAAGGATCAGAGAGTTTCTTTGAAGAAATAATGGCAGAGAATTACCCAAAGTTGAGGAAAGATATAGATTGAAAATACAAGTAGCTAAATGACTCCAAGTAAGATAAACCTAGAGTCTCAGATAAGACACATTGTAGTCAAACCATCAAAAGTAAAAGACAGAGCATCTTGAAAGCAACAAAAAAGAAGTAACTCATCAATACAAGGAATCATCAATCAGTTGTTCCCTCAGCAGAAACTTTGCAGGGCGGAAAGCACTGGGATGATAACATTTTTTCCTTTCAGCAGTTTAAATATATCAGCTAAACATTCTGTATATGGCAAAACTGTCCTTCAAAAGTGGGGGATAAATTAAGATATTTCCAGATAAACAAATACTGAGACACTTTATTACCACTAGATTTGTCCAATGAGAAATGTTAAATGGAGTCCTTCAAGTTGAAATGAAAGGATGCTGGACAGTAGCTCGAAGCCAAACAAAATTACAATGTCCTCAGATAAAGGAAGATGCATGACAAATATAAAAACCAGTATTATTGTAATATTGCTTCATAACTCTACCTTTTATTCTTCTACAGTATTTGAAAGTCAAAACCATAAACACAATTATAAATCTATGAGTATATGATATATTAAAATGTAATTTGTGGTGTCTGTAACAGAAAGAGAGGAGCACAACAGTTTCTCTGTGACTGAAGTTAAGATGATATCAGATTCCAAGATTGTTATGACTTTACAATGTCATATGTAATCTCCATGGTAACCACAAAGAAAACACCTATAAAATACCACAAATGGAAATGGGGAAAGAATCAAAACATTTTACTATAAAAAAATCAAATAAACAAGCAAGAAAGGCAGTGATGGAGTAAATGAGGAACAAAAGTTATTATAACACATATAGAAAACAAAACATAATGGCAATTTTAAGACCTCTATCTGTAATTACTATAAATATCAATGGATTAAGCTTCCCTATCAAAAGACATGGATTGGCAGAACAGATATTTTTAAAAGACTTTTCAATAGATTCTTTTATGCTATCTGAAAGAAATTCACTTCTGATTAAGAACAGTCAAGTATGCAATATGTATTTCATGTAAATAGCAACCAAAAAAGAGCAGGAGTAGCTACATTATATCAAACAAAATAGAATAAGTCAAAAACTATTACAAAAGGCAAAGGAGATTATACTCATAAAAGGGTTATTTATCAGTAAGATATAATAATTATAAAGATAGAAGCAACAAACACCAGATCTCCTAAATATATGAAACAAACACTGATGGAATTGAAGGGAGAATAAGATGGAGCTACAAAGATATTAGATGGAATTACAACAATATTGATACCCCAATATAAAAAATCCAAAGAACAATCAGACGTAACTTCAATAAGGAAACAGAGGACTTCAGCAGTACTATAGATTAATTGACCTAACAGACCTACAGAGAACAATCCACCAAATAATAGAAAAATACAGATTTTTCTCAAGTGCATGTGGGATGTTCTCAAGATTAGATCGTACTTTGACTGCAAAATTTAATACATTAAAGAATTAAATGATGCAAAGTACCTTTTCTGATAACAATGGCATGAAAACAAAAATTAATAGAAGGAAAATTAGAAAATCTCCCAATATGTGGACAATTCAAGACACGCTTAAGCCATCAATAGGGCAAAGATGAAATCACAGGTGTAATTAGAAAATATCTTGAGTCAATGGAAATGAAGCCTCAGCACACCAAAACATACAGGATACAGCAAAAGCAGTGCTAAGAAGATAATTTGTAGTTATAAATGCTTACATTAAAAAAGAAAAAGAATGTCAAATAAAAATATAACTTCATTCCTTATGTAACAAGATTAAATTAAAGATAATTTTATATCCTTAACCAAATTAGGCTGCAGAACTTTCACAGAATAAAATTTTTCCTGGCCAGAACTTTCCAAAACTTAGCATGCAGACCCAGCTGTAGACGGCATAGTAAAAGGCAAGAAGAACTCCATCTTAAAGATAAGATTGCATTTTAACACCCAGGAAGTTCAAGAGGCAAGATTCTTTAGCAAGTAGACAATACCTCAGCCCACCTTGGGGGCTGGGCATGCAGCTTTTTGATATGCTCCCAGACCAAGGCGCCGGTGTCCCAGAGAGAAATCAAGGCAGGAAATTTCTTACAGTTAAGTCAATTTTTAATACTCAAGGACCACTTAACAAGTCCCCACCCCTAAGATTTTTCATGTTCTCGAAAAATCCTCAGCTACCTATAAAACCACCTAGACAACGCACCACCCAGGACTCTTGTCCCCTCCTGGCGTGAGCCCGGAGCTCTGTCCTTTCACTTTATCTCCAAATAAAAGCCTGTACCTTGCTCTCCTACCTTGACTGTTTGTGAAGCTCATGCACCTTTTCCTGTACCTACTGGATCATTTGCATGTCTTCTTTGGAAAATGTCCATTCAGGTCCTTTGTCCATTTTTTATTCAAATATTTTCTTTTCTGTTATTGAGTTGTATTAGTCCTTA